AATAGCCATTTAAAGATTCATTTTTCGGCATTTTTTGTGGTCCAAAATAGGCAATTTTAGATTCGAAATTCGCTATTTTCAGATCGCACCTCCGGAAGCCCGGTCGGCCCGGCCCGGTCGGCCCGGTCGGCCCGGAAGTTTACCGCGAACTTCAAAATCTTGAGCGAAAAGTTGAATCATTGTTTCGAAAAAAAGGTATTCAGTGCTTTTTTTCTTCGAGTTATTTTTCAATACATTCTAAAAATCAATAAATTCATTTTCAAAAACAATTGGCCTGAAAAATCTGAAAGTTTCGATATCTAAAAATATAAAAAAAATGAACTAATATTTCAATTTTTCCAGTCCAAAAAGGGCAGTTTTTAGCATACTTGTGAAGGGCCGAACCGGGCCGGGCCGAAATTTCACAAGTATGGTTTTTAGTCTGAAAATCCAAATTTTCTGAATACGAAAAATGAAAATTTCAGACTGAAAATCGTAATTTTCGGCACTGAACTTTCCTATTTTTGCTCGAAAATCAGTATTTTCATCCTTTGAAATTTTGAAATTTTGGTCCAAAAATGCCTAATTCAGTTCCGAATTTCTCTATATTTTGGACCTTTAAAATTGATCATTTTTTGACTCTAAATCTTGCTAATAGTACCTGAAAATTTTAAATTTTGGTCCCAAAAATTTCGTAGTTTTGCGAAATTTGGCTCATAAAATCTTGATTTTTGGCTTGAAACTACCCCAAAAATTCAATTTTCTAGGTGCAAAAAAACTTCGAAATTGAGATTTTGAGCGAATTTTTGAAATCTAAAAATTCGAAATTCAAGAATTTCCAAGTAAAAAATCGCTGAAAATTGCATTTTTTGGTCTGAAAATCCCTAACTTAAAGTTGGAAATTCAAGATTTTTGGCCTAAAACTTCAAATGCTAACTTTCTCCAGCTACCCAACTGGGAAACGGAAGACACCATCTTCACACTGGACTCGGAATTGCCATTTTTGAAAGGATTTGGAGTGTTCATGATTTCAAACATTCTCAAATATCGACCACCGCCAGCCGATGATTTCACAACGAGAGCCGAAGAGTATCCAGAAGCAAACGCGCTCGATTTGGATCAGCTGAAACCGATCATCGAGTTGGCGAACTACACGGAATCGGAGGATTTTATGAATTCGATTGGATTTGTGATTGCAAAGAAATTGGATAATTTGGAAGTGGACCAAATTGCCGCGTTCTTCGGGGTGGATTGTAGGGATGATGAGGACATTTTTGATGAGAATGATGGGTGGACTCATCCCAAGGCGGAAATGTTCAAAAGATTGAATCGAGATCAGGCCGTGGAGCAGGAGGAATAGGTGTTCTTGCCTCTAACTTTGGCCCAATTTATCTCGGTTATTTTAAAAGATGTCAAAAAAATGTTAACTGATAAAATATTTATCATGAAATGATGAGTTTTTTATCAGTTAACCACTTCTTGATAGCTTTTATGAAAATCTAGATAAATGGACTTAAATTTTGTATATTGATTGTTTATGTTTTAAAAGGAGATCCTAACTTTAACTCAATTTATCTCGATTCCGAGGACAGCTATCAAAAAGTGATAAACTGATAAAAGTTCATCAAGAAGTTGTGCATGATTTATCAGTTGACGACTTTTTGATATCATTCAAAGTAACCGAGGTAAATTGGCTTAAAGTTTGAGTATTTTGTATTTTTGACCTATTTTTACTTATTTTTGTCTGTGTGTGTGTGTGTTTTAAATGTGAAATAAATACTTTGTTTTTTTAAATTCAGCTTTTCAGATTGAAAAAGTTACAGATTCAAAAATGGCACTTTTGAATTTCGTGAGTTTTGGACCAACGTTTGGTTTCTATTTTCGAATTTTCAGCAATTTCTTCGGAAATAACAAGAAATTCAGACCAAGGAGCAGGAGCAACAGGCGCTAACTCAATTTATCTCGATTCCTATAAGAGATATCAAAACATTGTCAACTGATAACAAATTATTTATAAAATGATAAACATTTTATCAGTTGACAATTTTTTTATATCTCTTACAGGGGCCTAGATAAATTGGCTCAAAGTTTCAAACTAGCCTCAAATTTGGACCCGTACTTTAAAATTGAATTCAGAACATTTTTTAAAGCAAAATGTCGGAATACTTCCTTATGTTAGACCCCTGTGAAAATCTTAAAATTGAAAATCTTATAACCCGGGGTCCATTGTTCTCCATTGTATTCCCGTCTTTACCTTGTCACATTAACGTCAAATATCCAGTCACATTTTGGGTTTATTGCCCCTAAATACTGTTCGAATGACGGAGACAATAGGGGAAAGGGGGCGGAGTCTGAAATTCTGAATATCTTCTTTTTTTTGCTCTAAATTTTTTTTCATTTTTAATGTCGAATCCCAAGATATGAAAGTCCAAAAATTACGAATTGTGTCAATCTTTTTGAAAAAAAAATGTTCAGACAAACTTTTTTTTGGCTCTGAATAGGTGGTTAATGACACATTGTATTTTTTGGTGTTCTTTAAGGATCAAAACAGGAGAATCTGAAACAAAAATCAACTTTAAAAATTTGAATTTTTGGAACTTCTTTTTTGGTTAGCGTAAACACTCTAATAGAACGCCACCCGAATCGTCCAACATGAGCCCATGTATCTCATTTCCTATGAGAGATATCAAAAAGTGGTCAACTGATAAGATTTTTATCATAATATCAGCAATATTTTATCAGTTGACCACTTTTTGATATCTTATACAGGCGCTGGGATATATGGACTCAAAGTTGGTGGGCTTGAAGGAGTAGCAAGGCGACCGCGTTGCTCTGCGGCGCGCCAACTTTGACCTGATTTATCTCGTTTAGTGTGAAAGATATCAAAAATCTGTAAACTGAAAAAATGTAGGTGATATTATGACAAAGATTTTATCAGTAGACAAATTTTTGATATCTCTTACAGTAACCGAGATATAGAGGCTCAAAATCGGTAGTTGCAACACGTCGTCGGGCGGCTCTAAATCCTTGTCAGCTTAGAGCTTACTTATCTCGGTTTTTATAAAAGATATCAAAAAGTAATCAACTGACAAAATATTACTGATAATATGATAAACATTTTATTAGTTTACCACTTTTTGATATCTTTCAAAAGAAGCGAGATATTTAGTCTCAAAGTAGGCAGTCCGGGTGGGGTTCTATTAGAGTGTTTACGTTATTTTTCAGAGAAATTATATGAATCGAGAAATAGATTTTTGATAATTCTGATGTTCCCTAAAACTGTAAGAATCTGAAAATTTGAAAGTTCCAGAAGAAGTTCCGAAACTCCAAAAAAAAATCCAACAGAAAATTGTTTCGCCATTTCTCTCTTTAATCCCAAATTCTTATGCAAATCCTCAAAGGATTTTTCAGGGGAAGGGAGTTTTTTTAGTTTCTTAAGAAGATTTTTTCCCCATTTTTTTTCTTCTTTTTCCCTATGTTTTTTGGTTGCTCAGAAACACTAAAAAAATTAAAAAGAGACTTTTCTTTGTCTATTTTTTCCTCTCCATTTTCTTTTTTTTTGCATTTTTGCTCTGAGAAAAAATATGAATTCCAAAAATTACTAGATTTTAAAAATCTGAAGATTCTGAAAATTCTCAAAAACTTTTTAAAAGTTAGAATTTTTCCGATTTTAAAATAATTCCTGAAATTTTGAAAATCTAGATTTTCAGGCATTTTTGAGTTTGAAAGTTCATATTTTGTCATCGTCTTCTATAATAAGCTTCTAGAATTTTTTCCCCACAATCTGACGCCATTTGTCTCCTATCATTTCCATTTTTTCCCATTTTTTGGATGATTTCCCAGAATTATCACTCTTCTTACTCACCCCACGTCTTCTGAATTCTCTAGAATCCCAAATTCAAAATTTCATAAAAAATTCAGAATTCCAAATAATCATGGCGTGCGAAAAAAAAATCCCCGACCCACTCATTTATAAATATTTTCCCTCTGGTTTTCAGATTCTTTTTTCTCTTTTCTGAATAGTTTTCTATGCAAGTAAAAAATATGGTAGTAGACCCAAGACGCAAGAAAAAAAATAGTGAAATTATTCATGAAATGAGGTATCCTCAATAGCTTTCTTAGTGAGAAAAAGCCTCTACAGACTTGAAGATTTTCTTTTTGGAACCTTTTTTTCAAAGATTTTTGATCTACAGAAACCGGAAAAAAACGTATTTATTACGAATTTTCAGACCGAAAATTGTGATTTTTATGATTTCAAATTTGACCCTAATTTTCGAATTTTTAAGCCAAATCCTCAACTTTGAGTTTATGTATCTCGCTTCCTGTATAAGATATCAAAAAGTGGCTAACTAAAAAAATGTAGCTGATATTATGATAAACATTATATCAGTTGACCACTTTTTGATATCTTTTACAGAAACTGAGATAAGTAAGCTCAAAGTTGACAGCGATTTAGAGCCGCCGCTCAAGCTTCTCTGCACCCGACGGCTTGTTGCAACTACCGATTTTGAGCCTCTATATCTCGGTTACTGTAAGAGATATCAAAAATTTGTCTACTGATAAAATCTTTGTCATAATATCACCTACATTTTTTCAGTTTACAGATTTTTGATATCTTTCATACTAAACGAGATAAATCAGGTCAAAGTTAGCGCGCCGCAGAGCAACGCGGTCGCCTTGCTACTCCTTCAAGCCCACCAACTTTGAGCTCTTATATCTCGATCCTTGTAAAAGATATTATAAAACGGTAAACTGATAAAATGTAGCTAATATTATGATAAGCATTTTATCAGTTGACTACTTTTTGATATCTTTTACAGGAATCGAGATATATGAACTCAAAGTTGAAGGTTTGGCTCAAAATTTCGAAAATTAGGGTCAAATTTAAAATCATAAAAATCGCAATTTTCGGTCTGATTGTTTACGGCAATTTGGACATTTGAGAGTTTAACACATTTTGAATTTTCAAGAAAAATTCTTTTCAATTCATTCATATTTTGTTCTCTGGATTCTTCAAAAAAAATTTCCTCAAGGATATATTAAATTAGCTTCATAAATTTAGTAGTCTGAATATATTCAGAATTCCTACATAACCAGAAAAAAACACAAATAGAAAAAAAAAGAATAAACAGAACGAAATCAATTGGCTTCCCACTAGTCTCATTCTATATATTTTTTTGCTATTTTTCTCTGAATCAGAAAAAAGGAAGGTGAGAGTTTCTCACCAGAAAAATTGTTTTTTCTAGATTTTCAGTTTTTCAATTTTCAAAAGTTTAATTTCACAAGATTAATCTATCCCACCTTAAAAATGGGTTCTCGTAAAAATTCTAATAGGAGGGCCCCCCTTAACGTTCAACTTTGATCCAATTTATCTTAGTTCTTTCAAAAGATATGACAAAGTTGTCAACTAATAAAATGTTTGCCTTGATATCAAAAGAATTTTATCAGTTGACATAATTTTGATATCTCTTAAAGGAACGGAGATAATTGATTCTCAAAAATCTGAGTTTTTAGTGCAAACTCGCTCTATTAAGAATTCGAACAAGTGTCAGGGGGTAAACTCTTGAAAGAATTGAAGTGACTTCTTGTTGTTCCTTCCGCCGAAAAACTCGTGTAAAATGAGAAAAGAGCACAGGAAAAGAGCACTCATAAAATATTCGGAAAGCAGCTCCAAGAGCTCTGGACTCATATAAATCGTGGCACCTTTTTTGTTTCCTCCATTTCCCATTTAAAACATGAAAAATGAAGGTTTACTTCCCGAATTCTCCAGTTTTCAAATTTTGCAGAGTTTATTTTAATTCTGAAATAATCTGAAAAAGTCGGATTAGAGCGAGTTTGGCAAATTCGAAAAATCTGTTTTCCTGATACAAAACTTCCTGTTTAATCTCTTGTTCTAAAAGTGTAAGAACATTTGTAGGTCCAATTTTTTTGTTTCCATTGACGCAAATAGAATGCGAACAAGCAATCTTTTTTTGTATCAGATTTTCAGCTATCCTGAATTTTTTTTGAAAATTTCAGACATTTTTTTTTGGTTTTTAAAGATTAGATTCTTGGAATCTGATCTTTCTTGTTCTTAGGCTTATTTTCAGACAAAGACATTTGTGTATTTTCTCAAATGTTGAAATGTCTAAGGTTATGATTTTTGTGAAAATGTTTAATTTTCGGAAAATACAAATTTTCGATTTTTCAGATTTTAATTTTGAAACACATATGTATTTGTGGAATTTCCCAATCATAGTCCATCTTTGAGACCAAATTCCAAAATCTTCCAGAAACAAGACCAAGTTCTCACACCCCAAAAAGTTTGATTATCTTTAGAATACTTTTTTTTCTGATTTTTGGACTTTCTAGTTTTCTAATAATTTAATTTTTAGAAAAAAAATCCCAAATTACAGGAAATTTCGGAAGTTCAGGATATTACAATTGAAATTCTAAACGGTCCGAAATCGAGAAATCGAGAACTTTCCAAAAAATTTCAAAAATTCCAAGGAATTGAAAAATTCCTAATAATTAGAAAAAATTCCCAAAAATAGAATTTCTAGTTACAGAGCCCTGCGTTTTCAAATTCATTCTGAAAGTTCTGAAATTCGGAAAACCTCAAAGTTTCCAAAAATCCAAAATTCTCAAAAATTCCGAGATTCCCAAAATCTCAGAAATTCAAATTTGAGGCCAAATTCCAAAATTTTCCAAAAACAAGACCAAGTTCTCACACCCCAAAATTTTCTTATCACTAGAATTTTTTCTGATTCTTAAACTTTCTAGATTCATCGTATTTTAACTTTTTGCAAAAAGTTCGAAAAGTTAGCGACAGAATCAAAATTCCAAAAACCAAGAAATTATTAAATCCGAAATTGAGAAATCGAGGAGTTTAAAAGTGTTCAAAAATCCAAATAATTAGAAAAAAATCTTAAAAATTCCCAAAAAATAGGATTCCTAGTTCTGAAAGTTCTGAAATTCGAAAACCCCGAAAAAGGAGAACTCCTAAAATTTTGAAATTCTAAAATCCTCAAAGTTTCCAAAAATCCAAAATTCTCAGAAATTCCCCTGTGTTTCAAATTTCATTCTAAAACTCGAATGATCCAGAAATTCCAAACATCTCGAGAATTCCAGATTTTTCAATTCTCTTCTAATCCTTATTCAAAATTCCAATTTCTCCATTTCAAACCGATCCTTCTTCTTATTCCTCCAATTCTCATCACCCCCTTCCTATCCCCCCATCTGGTGTGCTCATCTCATCTCCATTCCTTGTTGCTCCGTTCTGTTCCATTCTTCTCCTTCTCTTCTTCTTCTTCTTCTTCTTCTTCTTCTTCTTCTTCTTCTTCTTCTTCTTCTTCTTCTTCCTATAAGCTTCCGTCCTTCTTCTTCTCCTTCTCTACTTCAATATAAATAGTGTTTTGTGAGAAGAAGAAGTGGAAGAAGAAGAGCTCATCGGGAGCAGGAGCAGGATGACCAAATACGTGTTAAATCGTTTCGTTTCGTTTTGTCCCATCCCCCCATCCCCATCCATCCACACCGGAGAGAAAAGAAGAAGGAGAATTGGAATGGAATGAGATGGATGAGCCCCAAGGATAGCTCCTTTTAAATTGACTCGGTACCAGGCACCGGAGACTAGTCCGACATCCTCACTAAAAAATTTGGGAGCTCTTTTTGGGTTTCTGGGTCCAGTTGTCTTAGAAGTTCAGGATCTTAGAAGGTCCTATAGAATTCAGAGTCCCAGGATCTTCAAGCTCCACAGAAGTTCCATATCTTTAGAATCCAAGGATCCAAAGCCTACAGGTTCCGAAGCTCTTTGGTCTTCCAGAATTCAGAACCTTAGGCTTCAGAAGTCTTGAAAATCCTCAAGGATCCTAGAGGGTTCTAGAGGATCGGAATCCTAGGATTCAAATCTTTGGTTCTAGTTGGTTTTTTTCTCTAGTTGGTTATTTTGGAATTTAAAGAAATTTTTGGGTTTTAATAAAAATTTTGGATTTTTTAAAAAAAATTTGGATTTTAAAGAAATTTTTGGATTTTGAAAAAAAATTGGATTTTAGAGAAGACCAGAAATTTTTGGATTCCTTATAGTTTTTCAAGGTCTTTAAAATCCAATATTTTCTTTAAAATCCAAAATAACCAACTAGAGCCAAATCTTTATGTTCTGAAACCGAGAATCTCCAGAATCTATATTCTCAAGATTTTGAGATTCCTTGGATCATGACTTCAAGGATCTTAGGATCTTCAGAACCTCCAGCTATCAGAAATTTAGAATTTTAGAAATTTCACATCCTGGAATTTGAGCATGTCAAAGTTTGAAAATCTAAGAATCTGAGAATTCTCATTTTTCAAGACTTCACATCATCATCATCATTCTCATTTGTGCCTTCCTCATCCTAAATATGCCTTGTTTGTATCTCTATTTGAACCCATTATTATTAAGAAAAAGAAGAAGAAGGTCCCCTTCTTCTTCTTCTTTTTCTCAATTTTCTTCATCTTCTTCTTCTTCTCATTACATTTTCCAAACATAGAGCAGCTAGCTCTGAGATTTTTCTTTTCTCTCTCTCTCTCTCTCTTTTCAGAATCTGAATTTCTGAAGACGTTCCGCTGTCCCACAATCAATTATTCTTCTCAATTATATATGCCGATTTTCCGATTTCCCTGTCTTTATACATACGATTTCCTCCTATTTTCCAGAATCCCAAACTCCTCATCTCTGGTCATAGGAGTCGAAATTTGAAGCAAAAAAGAAGGAGAAAAAGGGAGATTTAATTACATAGCAACCAGTTGAAATTCGAGAGATAGAGAGAGAAAGAGCAAGAAACAACAACAACCAATTATTATTTTATTATTATAGTTTCTGAAAAGGAGAGGAGGAAAATCTATCACAAGGTTTGTTGCCTATTTCGTATAGTTTGATTTTTTGGAAAAATTGAAATTTTCAACAAAACAAAAAGATTTGATTTCAATCGAAATTTGTTCTTGTACTTTTTTAGCATTATGCAAAATACCGTAAACACTCTAATTCGATTTTTCGATTCTTACTGGAGCGCGTTTTCTGAACGAAAGTGATTTCCGCTTAAAATATTCGCATTAGAGCACATTTGCATTTTTCACCGATCCATTTTTGAATTTCGCGCCAAAACTTAGCAAACTTTCGCATTTCTCATTAGAGCGCATTTTCTTTGTTCCCAGTGAAAATCGAGCGCGAAATTTGAAAATTCAAAAATTCTCACTTGAGTTTTCTGTCAAAAACCGAAACTTCAAATTTCACGCCAAATCTTTGACATTTTCGCGGTTCTCAATACAGGGCGTTTCATAAGTATAGGTTCACCCTCGGTAGACAAGGTGGGAAATCTTGGAGGTTTGGGGTTGTTATAATATTAAAGTCCATGTAAAAATACATATCGCCCACAATTTTTAGACCGCTACTACAAAAAATAAATTTTTTATGTCAGAAAAAGTCTTTTTTTTTGAAAAACGAGCGTTTCATAAGTATAGGTTCACCCCCGGAAAATTTAACATTAACAAAGTTTTATCAATTCAATACTTTGTGGGCTTTCCACCAGTGGAAATAATAGAAAACAAGCGGTTTGGCATGGAATTTAACAACTTCTGGAGGTAAGGCTTCTTCAGGTTCTTCCATGCGTCCACGATGGCAGTTTGGAGCTCAGAAACGGTCTGGTATTGCTTTCCCTGACCATATACGACGCGCACGAGTTCAGCCCAAACATTCTCCATTGGGTTCAAATCCGGCGAACAAGCCGGCCAATCCATCACCTTGATTTTTTCGGACTTGAACCAGTCCAAAGTCGATCTGCTCGCATGAATCGAAGCATTGTCCTGTTGATATGTGAGCTGACGCCGATGAAAACGGCGAAGATATGGGATCAGTTTGGCAGTCATGACATCCTGATAGTCTGTCGAGTTCATTCTGAAGGAGATGAACGCCAAATCCACAGTACCGGCAGAAGAGAATGCTCCCCAGACCATAAGACGACCACCACCGAAGTTACGCTTGGAGAAATGGAGGGGATCCTTCTTCAGGTCGTGCCAGTAACTGTTGAAGCCGTCCGGCCCGTCCAGATTGAACTTTTTTTCATCGCTGAAGATGATCTGTAATAGAAAACAGCATAAGTGATGATTTCAAAAGCATTCCATACCTTATCCCAATCAGTTGCCATGTTGTTCCTTGCAAACTGAAGTCGGTTCGCCTTGTGAGCATCGGTGAGCATCGGCGCGGACATTAACTTGGCTCGGACAATGTTCTGATTGCTGTCCAGTGCTCTCCAGACAGTGGACTTGCTCACGTCCAGTTTCAGCTCATTCTTTATGTCGCTACAGCTCTTCATCGAATTGGATGCCAGTCTGATGATGCTTCTCGTGTCTCGATCCGTCAATTTTTTCGGAGCTCCGCTCTTCTTGTTGGTCTCGTAGTGGTCCGGATTGTTAACAAACGTGTTAATACAATTGAAAGACCGTCCTAACCTAGCTGCGATGCGCCGATTCGACCATCCAGCCGTTTTGAACGCGTCGATCTGAGCTCGCTCCGAATCCGAGAGATGAGTGGCTCGCGGCATAAGAAAAACGAAGTAAAAGACGCAAAAATAGTTAAAAAGAGTAAAAATAGTTAAAAAGTTATCACCTATGTGAAACTGTAATTTTTTTCAAGGGTGAACCTATACTTATGAAACGCTCGTTTTTCAAAAAAAAAGACTTTTTCTGACATAAAAAATTTATATTTTGTAGTAGCGGTCTAAAAATTGCGGGTGATATGTATTTTTACATGGACTTTAATATTATAACAACCCCAAACCTCCAAGATTTCCCACCTTGTCTACCGAGGGTGAACCTATACTTATGAAACGCACTGTAGAGCGTACTTTCTCTATTTTAATTGTTGCTATCACAAAAATGTCAAAATCGAGCGCGAAATTCAAAAATTCTCATTGGAGCGCGTTTTAAACCTAATACCAAAAAAAATTCAAATTGGAGCGCACTTTTTCAGTTTTCTGTGAAAATCAAGCGCAAAATTTGAAGTTCTGGAATTTCAATATTCGCGCCGATTTTCGGTAATAGAACGCCACCCGCACCGTCCATTCTGAGCCTTTATATCTCACTTCTTTTGAAAGATATCAAAAATGTGTCAACTGATAAAATGTTTATCATGATCTCTGCAACATTTCATTAGTTCATTACTTTTTGATATCTCTCCCAGAAAATGAGATACACGGGCTCAAACTTGACGAATCGGGTGATGTTCTATTAGAGGGGTTACGGTATGCTCTATTCCAAAATTGTTCCAGATCTCCTATGCGCTTCTTCGAATGTAGCTGCTCTCCATTTCCCAGTCAACTGTCTTCTTTTCTCACCCACCTCCTCATCCTGTACACTCTCTCGTCATCAGTAGAAGCCAGTTCTCGTAACAACTATCAATGGTCGTACGATTCGGACGTTTTCGGTGGTCCCGATTTTTGGGGTTTAGTGGAAAAAGATTGGTGGATGTGTAGAAAAGGACGGCTACAATCGCCAATCGATATTCAACCCGATCGACTGTTATTCGATGCCAGTGTCAAGCCAGTTCGTCTGGATAAACTTCCAGTGAGTTCGGAATCCAAAATTTGCTAAACATAGTCTGAAAATGATATAAAACAGCTCGCCAAAATCGCCCAAAATCGCTACGCACCGTCTTAAAATTGGTTTAATATGTGCCAAAAATATACTAACTTGTCGAACATCTTTAAAATCCTGATATGAAATCCAAAATCGGCAAAAAACGGCTGAAAAACGGATCAAAAGTAATCTACCAAATGCCTTAAAATAGTCTAAAATAGGCTGAAATTGCTACGAAATTGACTGAAAATGGTCTGAAAATGATCTAAAACAGCTCAAATTTGACTGAAAATGCCCCAAATTCGCTTAAAAACGGCTGAAATCGGCTTAAAAACGACCTACCGTAAAACCTCTAATAGAACGACACCCGGAACGTCCACTTTGAGACTATATATCTCACTTCTTTTGAAAGATATCAAAAAGTGGTTAACTAGTAAAATGTTTATCAGGATATCAGCAACATTTTACTAGTTAGCCACTTTTTGATATCTTTCACAGAAAATGAGATATATAGGCTCAAAGTGGTTGATCCGGGTGTCGTTCTATTAGAGGTTTTACGGTATATGGTGCAGGCTATAAGAGCCTAAGACTAGCTTTGAAATGGCTAAAACCGGATTAAAATTTTTTCTAAAAAGCTTAAAACTGTTCCAAGAATCCCAAAATATTGTCTAAATACTGTCTAATTTCTGAAATTCTATCGGAAATCTGAAATTGACAAAGAACGGCTCAAAAACGGACCAAACGCTGAACCGAAAACCGTCAGGATACAGTCCGAAAACGACTTAAAATAAGCTTGAAAAGTTCTAAAATAGCTGAAAAAGGTTCAAGGTTTTTGAAAAACGGCTGAAAAACAAACTAAAATGACTCTAAACTGATTTTTAAAAATCAAAAAATTCAAGAAAATTCCCAAATTTCAAATTCCAATTTTCGCATTTTTTTTCTCAATTTTTTTCAGGTGCTATCTGAATTCGTGAACACTGGTCAAATGGTACGTATTCGCATCGGTTACTCCACAAAAAAGCCATCGGTCAACATCACAAACGGTCCGCTATACGGGTATAGATATCGGTAAGCCTATCCTTTTTTTTTTGGAACCGCCCAACTTTAAAGGCGCATAACTCAAAAACTATGGTAGCTACAAAAAAGTTGCTTACTACGAAAATGTGTAAAATTTAATTTCACACATTTTTCTAGTTACAACCTTTTTTCTAGCTACTGTAGTTTTTGACTTATGCGCCTTTAAATATTGTGCGAGCAACAGCCTCCGATGAGAGAAAGAGAAACCATATTTTTAAAGGCGCCTATCTCAAAAACTATTGCATCTAAAACAAAACTGAAAACTACAAAAATATGTGAAATTGAATTCTACACATTTTCCTAGCTGACACTTTTTATATAGCTACCGTAGTTTTTGAGTTATGCGCCTTTAAAGATTGTGCGTGCGTTTAGGAGAGGGGACCAGGCGCCCTATCTTTAATGACGTGTATCTCAAAAATTACTGTATCTAAAACAAAATTGAAAATTACAAAATATGCGAAATTAATTTTTATGCATTTACCCAATTGACACATTTTTCATAACTACCGTAGTTTTCGAGTTATGCGCCTTTAAAGTTAAAGAAGACGTAGAAGGGCAGTCTTTTGGATCTTTTAGGTGCGCATTGATTACTGTAGCTTGTAAGATATGCAAGTACAGTATTTAGTCATATAGAGAGGTTAAGTTGTAGCATATGAGTTAGATATGCAGGTACAGTACCCATTAGATGTGCAGTTTATACTGTTGTGTAGTAATTTGATGTGCAGGTACAGTACCGAGTTAGATACAGTGATCTTTCAAAAAACTACAGTAATCCTACAAAAAAAATTTTCAGGGTCCAAAGAATCGATTTTCATATGGGTCGTGGGAAGGAAAATGGCAGTGAGCATACGATAAATGGGCGGAGATTCCCGATGGAAGTTCAGCTGGTGGCCTTCAATACGGACCTGTATCCCAACTTCACTGCCGCCTCGAAATCCCCACATGGGATAGCGATACTCTCCGTTTTGGTTGATGTGAGTCTTTTTTTTTTTTTTGAAAATTTGAATTTCCCGCCAAACCTGCAAGGCCCGGAGTTCTAAGAATTTAAAAATTCCAATTCCCGCCCAACCAATTGTTTGCAGTTCGGCGCTCAAACGAATCAAGAGCTGACAAAGCTGACGATCGCCACGGCGAGCATCAGCTATAAAGATCAGAGGGTCCAGATGGCGGATTTCGAGCCGTGGCGGCTTCTACCGTTCACCCGGGACATCATCACTTATGAGGGATCGCTAACGTCTCCCGGATGTCATGAGACGGTGACGTGGATTATTCTGAATCAACCCATTTTTATCACCAGGGAACATGTGAGTTTCTGGCTGGGTGATCATGGCCTAGAAAACCAAAGTCGTGGCCTAGAAACTCTAAAATTGAGCTCTAGGGGTTCAGCGAAGTTTTGGCCTAGAAACTTGGATTCCTAGGCCACCAGATTATTGCTTTCTAGGTCTTCAATGAGCTGGTGGCCTAGAAAACCAATTTTTTGGATTTCTAGGACTTTGAAGAACTGGTGGCCTAGAAATCAAAATTCATGGAATTATAGGCTCTAATTGGATTGGTGGCCTAGAAACTTGGATTTCTAGGTCACTGTAAGTTTCTATGTCTGTAGAATCATGGCCTAGAAACCCAAATTTCCGGTTTTCTAGAACTTTTAGTAAATTGTGGCCTAGAAAACCAATATTTTGGGTTTCTAGGTCTTTTGAGGATTGGTGGCCTAGAAACGGAAAAATTTAAGTTCTAGGGCTTCATATGGTAGATGGCCTAGAAATCCAATTTTCCGGGTTTCTAGGTCTCTTAAAAATGGCTGGCCTAGAAAACCAAATCATTGGATTTCTAGGACTTTGAAACGTTTGATGGCCTAGAAAACCAAACCCGTGAATATCCAGATGGAATGGTGGCCTAGAAATCCTCAAAAAGTGAGGTTCTAGGGCTTTGATCAATCGATGGCCTAGAAACTTGGATTTCTAGGTCACTCGAGAACCAGTAGCCTAGAAAACCCAAATTTCCGGTTTTCTAGGACTTTTAGTAAATTATAACCTAGAAAACCAATATTTTGGGTTTCTAGGACTTTAAAAAATTGGTGGCCTAGAAAATCAAGGTCATGGCCTAGAAACCAGTCTTGGTCGGATTCGGAAAATCGAGTTCTCGATTTTTCCGATTTTTTTCGGAAAATTTTCCGAATTTTTTTACGGAAAATTTTTTCCGTCGGAAAATTTTCCGAAAAATATTCGGAAAATTTTTTCTCGAAATAATCATGCTGCGTTCAAAGTGAAGAGGAAATCTCTACTTTGTATAGTTGAAACGGGTGCAACAGTAACCCAAGCGCGGCGAGACCCGCAATCGGTGTCGATTTACGGGGTCGATTTAAGGTGAATTTTTTTTTAAATTAATTTTTTCTGAATGAAAACATACTTTGGTAATTTTTGACTAATTGAAATTCGAGAAAATTCGAGAACTCGATTTTCCGAAAAAAAAAGTCGAGAAAAAATTCGAGAACACGATTTTCCGAATTTGTTTTTCCGAACAAGCCTGCTAGAAACCCAAATATTTGGTTTTCTAGGTCTTTAGATAATTGGTGGCCTAGAAACTCAAATTTAAGGTTCTAGGATTTAAAAAAGCTAATGGCCTAGAAACTTGGATTTCTAGGCCACCACATGTTATTTTGCCCGATGGCCTAGAAATCCACATTTCTAGGCCATCTGGTCTTTCTTCCCTTTTTCAATGCTTCAACTTTCAGTTTGAAGAATGGTCCCATCTCTATCACACCATGGAGGGTGCCGAAAAAGTGCCCGTCGCGCCCAACTATAGAAAAATCCAAGAAACTAACAATCGACTGGTTCGCACCAATATTCAGCATAAGGTTTGATTTTTTGAATTTCCAAAAAAATCAAAATTTCATTTTTTAGATGAGCTACAACTGCAACGTTTCGGTGAACAAAATCCACTATCGTGCGAACCATGTTGCTCCGAAGGCTGCTCCACAGCATTCCACTAGGCGTCATAATAATCCGTTTGTTTGAGGATCTCGTTATTTTTTGCTCAAAAATATTTTTGTTATTTTTTCTTTTTTTCTCGTTTCTTTTAAAAAAATCATATTTTTCGCTCTTTTATACAATTTTGAGGATGTTTCTTTCCATTTTTTTTTCGATTCAAAAAAAAATGGAGAACACAAACTAATGAACAAGGAGAATTTGAAATATAGACGAAATTGAAAAAAAAATAAAAGAAAATTTATCGAAGAGGAAGCACAAGACATTCGATTCATCTCTCTTTCTAATTATTTTTTTTTCTTTCTATGTTCTTTTTTTCCCAAATGATGTCGGTTTGGTTGGTTGCTTAGTGGTGCTTCTCGCGTTCGGCTTCGAATCCGGTTCCTGGCACGAATTGCTCAGCCTTGTTGTGGAACAACGAGTGGTTTCCGTCTCCCCATGGGAATGGCTGGAAATTCGATACGTTTTTGGAATTAGTTTTTGGATTTGGAGGCAGAGGGGAGGTCGTTTTTGAGGATTTTCGGATTGTTTAAGGACTAAATCGTGGGGATTTAAAGGGACTTGCAGCTGGGTTTTCAAATTTTAATCTAGATTTTTATGAGAAAATCGAAATTTTGTGTTAGAAAAAGCTATTTCTCAACTACCGTAAAACCTGTATTAGAAGGGTCCTTCTAATAGAAGGGCACTCCGAAAGAGGCTTGAAAAATAGAAGGGCCCCTGTAATAGAAGGGCACTCTTCAAAAAGTGTCGTTTGAAATTGAAAATTTTCTTACGTTTTCAATAAAAATGTTCTGGAAATTTCAGAATTCTGTCGAAAAATTCCTCAAAAACTTGCTCAATATCGGTGAAATTTATACATTTTCATGAATTTCGAACGGGAATTCACCATTTTCAAGTGAAAATTTTCCAAAAGTATGGCTGAAAAAATAGTCCCCCCTCTAAATAAAGGGCCCTCCGGAGGCACTTTGGAACAATAGAAGGGCCTGCCCTTCTAATACAGGTTTTACGAAAGCATTGCTTTCTTTTATGAGCATTGTGGGGACAAAAAAACCTAAATTGACAGAATTTTAAAGGATTTACCTTGTTGCGGACGTTCAAGAAGGCGTACTCGACGTGCTCTGGACGCTCGTGGCTCATGTGCTTCTTGTGATCCTTGAAAGCGGCATACATGGTGAGAGCCAAGCATGGGATCGAGGCAATGTAGAAAATCTTCTTCCATGTCTCGGAGGCGCCTGGAATTTTGATTTTTTTTTCGGGTTTTTGAACAGTTTTCCACCTAGAAGTATCAAAAAAACTCACTGTGGTTTGGCTTGAGCTGAGTGGTGTACGATTGCTTGAATCCGTCAACGTTGTGCGATCCGTAGAATGGTCCGGACGAGTTGCGTTGGAAGGTCTTGACGACCGAGCGGCCGGCTGGCTGTACAAGACGGTTCATGGCGGATACCTGGTAAAAAGACCGATTTTTCGTCGTAAATAGGCGAAGAAATACAAGAAAAGTCACGTTCGAAACGACGAGAGAGATGACAGAGAAAACCGCGATTGTTTTCGCTAGAAAAAAATCGCAAAAATCAGGTGACTAGCGGAAAAGTGCAAAATCCTCAGTTTTTTGTTGTTTTCAGCAAAAAAATAGGTTTAAAACCTCGAAAATCGGCGAAAAATGGTAAAAAATCTGTTGAAAATCCGTTAAAAATCGATAAACACTGAAAAATGCGAAAAATTGAATTTCCGAGTCAATTTTAGCGAAAATCAGCATCAAACCGATTAAAAATTGCTTAAAAACTGATTTTGTCGCTTCGAAACACAAAAAAATGCTCGAAACTTGTGAAAAACCACCAAAAAGCAAAAAAATCCGTCAAAAACTTTGAGACCCTCAAATTCGATAATTTTGGGTCAATTTTCATAATTTTGGTATCAAAATGCTCTAAATCCACCGGAGAATCATTTTCAAACAAAAATTATCGATTTTTCAGCTCAAAACTCGTAAAAAAACGCGAAAAATGCATGTGCGCACTGCACAACACAACGGAGAGGCCGTCTTCGCGGCGAGACCCGAGCGCCGAAATTGCGTGCGCCTTTAAACAGAAACGTTCTCCGGGAGGGAAAGGTAAACTGAAAATCGTGCGTAACTCTGCTGAAACTGCTTCTAATGAGCTGAAATTTTCAGAGAATATTCAGAAAAAATAGAGAAAAACTTGTTCAAAAATTGAAAGAAAATGATTCACACAAGAAATATTTATTGGCGAAAAAAGGTTTAGTTTTTACTCCGACTTTTCTTTTTCGCAATTTTCACTGGTTTTTCGACTTTCCGTGGGCCTCCTGTAGTTCCAACTGTGGTTAGTGCTCGCTCGTTGAAAGCTCCAGGTGGTCCCTCCGATCCTTCACCCTCTTTCGTCAGCGTTTTCATCATAAAACTCTCATTGCCCGACATACAGCCAGAATTCACTTCTCGAGCACGACGAGCACGTTGGAGACGTTCAAACATCAATGTTTCTTCGCCCTGCTGTAATTAAAACTTTAAAAAGATAATCTGGAAAAGGAAATACCGGTGTCGCCGCCTTATTATTCTTCTTCGCATCTTTCACCAATTTCTCCAGCTTTCCCGTCCAATCCATATGCTCATCAGATGGTTCCGACGTCGAAACTTCTTTTCGAGCCGATAGAAGCTCATTTTCTATTAGTCTAAAAAAGCAATAAGAGTTTGGAACGGGGGCGGGGGTTGAACCCCGGAGGTGTGGGATGGCGGGCAAAAGCGTTAGCCACTAGGCCACGGAGGTATGTGGTGAAAGAGGCGCGGAGGGCGTATAGAAAAGGGTGCAGCGGCGGTGTCGGCAGGAGGGGAAAAGGCGATTATATATTTTTTGAAAAATTCAGAAAATCCAAAATTTCAAATTGTATTTCAATTCAATTTCAATTTCAATTTCAATTCAAATTCAATCAAATTTCAATTTGTTGAACAAAAAATTTCGGGACCTGAGGTCCTAGAGTATCTAGTCAAACCAAAAATTTCAAAAAAAAAAGAGAAAATTTTGAAAAAATGTACCGATAATCCACGGGATCCTGAAATTTCAAGCCATTCAAGTAGATCAAAATTCTCGCAATGCTCGCTGGAATCATTGGATCGAGTTCTGGAAGTCAAACAATTCAAAGTCCCGCCAAGCCGAATGCTTTTTTTCACCTTTCGTCGGATTCGCACACAACGCCTTCTTCTTCTCGACAATTTTCTTGGGCTCCCCTAGACATTTGCTCCACGGAAGGCCTCGTTCGTTGTGGAATAGGTCAAGTACCGTATACACATACGTCTCCATATCGTCTTTTCGTCCTTGGTCTTGTTCCATGTGGCAAGCGCGATTGCAAAATTTTCGGGTACCATAGAATGGGACACGATCCCGCTTGTTCTGGAAAACGGGTAATTTTTTTGGGATTACAAATTTTTGTTCTATTTTCCATTAAAAACTTTTTTTGAAAATTTTTCAATTAAATAGTCAAATTTTGTCTCAAAATTTCTTAAATTTTACAACAACATTTTTTTCTAAAAACTTAATTTTTACTCAAGTTATGGTCATTTTAATATTTTTAACAACTCTAACAAAAAAATCCTATTTAAAAATGAAAAATTGATTTAAATTATACAAATTTTATATGTCCTCGTTTCGCTTTAAATTGTCTATTCAATAGAAAAAGAATTTTCTGAAAATCTCCATTCGCACCCAAGTTACAGCCATTTTAAGATGCCTCTGCCCTCCTCCAGCTAAGCCCCGTCTCTTTTCAAGTCTAATTCGTTAAAAATTCTGAAACATTTTTACATTTTTGGAATGTCTGAAAATTTTGCTATATTTTCCAAAAAAGAAAATTCTCAAACTCCTTTTCTAGCCCAAGTTACAGGCATTTAAAGATAGCTCTCGCCTTCTCCCCCTCTCTTCTCCTAAGCCCCGCCCCTTTTACACACAAAATATAGCGGGCAGCGGAACCCGGGAGGTGTCGGCCGCTTGGCTACCCTACCCCTTATATACGCGTTGCGTTTTCATAGGTCTTGTTCTTCCGAGAACATATACTAAAATTGGAACAATACAGAGAAGATTAGCATGGCCCCTGCGCAAGGATGACACGCAAATTCGTGAAGCGTTCCAAATTTTTTGACGAATTTTGTAGGTCACATCTTACTGTATCTTACTGTTAGAATGGTTGTAACTTTCGTTGGAATGATCCGTTTTTCAAAATTCTTTTTTTTAAGTGATAGGATTTTTCAAGAGGAATAGAACCATATAAAATATGTGTACCTTGAATCACTTTTTTAAAATTTAAAATCGAGATTTTTCCATTAGGCAATAGCTTGAGTTAAAATGAAGATCTTTCGAAAATTTTTGATGTAAAAAATAGGAAATTTTGTTCTGAAAGATTACCCTGTGCTCTCGACTTTTATGATTTTTGAAAATCCGCCGACTGATTCCAAAATCCAAAATATACAAAATATGATCGTCCTGGGGCGGATTTCCCGTACAAATGTTTCCCGGTTTTAGGTCTCGATGAATGAAACCAACTTCGTGCATTATTTCTACTGCCTGAATTTTTTTGAAACTTTAAATTTTGAAAAAAACTTTTTCCAGAAACTTCTAAAATCTGAACTGCCATATTGATGACACACGGTTTGGAGAATTGTTTATTGAGCATTCGTCGAACACTATCCAATGATGGTCCGATTAGAGTCATTACGATCCACTGGAAAACTAATTTTTCAAAAATTCGAAAAAATAATTTTCAAAAAAATAATTTCTTTTCGAAAAATTTTTAACCTGAGCAATCAGTGATTTTCGCCTTTTTTTCGAAAAACATTTTGAGATTTTTTGGTGAAAATCAGCAAAAATCAGTGAAAATCGACAATTTAGATTTTGTACTCCTCGTGGACAAGTCGAGGCGCGAAATTTGAAATTCGAAGGCAAAAAGGGTCAAAAACCGGGGATTTAGGCTTTCAAATAATTTCAAATAAATTTTATCTAAAAATTTCGAACTTTTTAGTAAAAATTCCGAAAAAAAATTTTTTTTCAAAATTTTTTCAAATTCCCGCCCAGCCAAAAATAGTCAATTCACCGCAAAATTCACCGAATAATCAGCGGTTTGTCCGGAATCGATGAGTTCGCAGAAATGGCGCGTTTTCGAATTCGCCGTCGTGTAGGCGTCAATTTCCTTCAGAATACTCTTCTCGATCGTCAGACGACGTTGATGTGCACCGTGAATCTCCGTTTTCATCGCGTATTCCTGTTGTGGCTGCAAAAATTCCCCCTTTTCCTTTAAATTTTTGAATTTCGCGCGCAAAATTTGAGCGGGAGTTCGGTGGAGCGCAATTGCGGATTTTCAGGTTTTTCGAGACACAAAAACCGTTGTTTTTTGTCGTTTTTTTTCGTTGATTTTGCGAAGAAAAAATGATAAAAAATCTAGACAAAAAAACGAATTTCAGAAAAATTCGAATTTTCAGATTTTTCAAAAAAAAATTCAAAAAAAATTTTTTATCGATTTTTTATCGATTTTTGGAATTTTATGGAATTCAAATAGTAATTTTGTCAAAATTTCCCGATTTTGATTCTCCCAAAAACCGATTTTTCCCAGAAATTCAAATTTTCAAAAAACAAAATTGAATTTTCCAAAAATTCAAATTTCCCGCCAAATCTCTCTCACCGATTTCGTGCTTCTCTCATCAATGACTCGATAAACATCGCCAAAACCCCCGGACCCGATATGCATTTGAATACACCATAATCGGATGCCACGACTCGTTCCCACTTTTGTATTCACTGCCAACAGTTTCTTTACTGGTCTGCAAATGCGCTCTATTGCAAAAAAGTTGATTTTCGCTTATTTTTTGACTTATCATTGGAGCGTGTTTTCTGAACGAAAGTAATTTCCGCCTAAAAATTCTCATCAGAGCACATTTGGGTTGGAGCGAAGCTCGAAAAAATTTCACTCTTTATTTTTTGAATTCCGCGCCAAAAAAATTGAAAATTTTCGCTTTTCTCAATAGAGCGCATTTTCTTTGTTTCCAGTGAAAATCGAGCGCGGAATTAAAATTTTCGAAATTTTTAAATTCGCGCCGAGTTTCAGAAAATCTCAAAAATTGTCATTAGAGCGAGTTTTCCACAAAAAAACCAAAAATTCAAATTTCGATATTGGAGCGTACTACATCTCTTTCCAGCGAGAATCGAGCGCGAAATTCAAAAATTTCAATTTCGCGCCAATTTTCAGAAATTTACAAAAATTCTGATTAGAGCGCGTTTTCAACCTAAAACCTAAAATTCGGATTTCGCGCCAAAACTTCTAGAATCTCATTGTCCCGTAGGGCGTACTTTCTCCGTTTAAAGTGAAAATCGAGCGCGTAATTCGAATATTCGAAAATCTCAATTGCCCGCCAATTTTCAGCATTTTCTAAAAATTCTCATTAGAGCGCGTTTTCTCAGCTGAAATCGATTATCGCTAAATTCTTCGAATTTCGCGCCAAAACTTCAAAATCTTTCGCTGTTTTTCAATAGAGCGCACTTTCGTAATGTCATTTTTTGATCGAATTTTCAATTTCGCGCCAAAATTTCGAATTTTTCCCAATTTCTCACTGGAGCGCACTTGCTTTTTCTTATTTCCCTGCTGTTTTTTGGATCCAGCCGTGCGAAGTCCGCGAGTGGCCTCGCGTTCCGTCGTCGCCTTCTGTCGATCGCCAGACTTCATTGCTCAGCCAGGGAAAATTTATATTTTTGAAAATAAATGTATTTTTTCAAAATTTCGGCTTTTCGTGCAGCACAACGTTGGAAATCTTTTAATAACTGGATTTAGGTAATAGGCAATAATTAAAATTTACTAAACGGAAAAATACAAAAAAATCATAAAAAATTTGGGGAAAAAAAGGAAAATACATTGAAATTCTGGAAATTTCAGAAAATTTCGAAAACGAAAAGAAAGGGAAATTTAAGAGTTTTTCTGTGGGACCTTGATGGTGACCGTCTTGACTTCAGTGTACGCTTCGAGACCGTATTCTCCGAGTTCACGACCGATTCCTGGAAAAATAGATGAGATCAGCAATGGAGCGGGAAATCAAAATTTGGGGAAAGAAAATCGATTTGCTGTAGTTTGTAGTTGATTTTTTGAGCAACTTCCATACCATTTTTTAGCTATTTTAGGTAGTTTCATGTCATTTTTGACCATTTTCAGCCGATTTCAGATTGTTTTCAGCCAGTTTTGAGACGATTTTTGTCAATTTTGGCTCGTTTCAAGCCCGGTTTGGATCGTTTTAGGCCATTTTCGGCTATTTTGGGCCATTTTCAGCTAATTTCGGGTTGTTTTTAGCCAAATTTTAAGCAATTTTTGAGCATTTTTAGCCAATTTCGAATCATTTTCGGGCAATTTGAGGCTATTTTCGGCTGTTTTTGGACCGTTTCAGGCCAATTTCGGGTCATTTTTAGGCCAGTTTTAGACTATTTTTAGTAAATTTTGGACCGTTTTCAGCCAATTTGGAACCTTTCAAACTGATTTTAGACCAGTTAAAGTTTATTCAAGACATTTTTGGACCATTTTAAGCTAACTTTTGGGTCGTTTTTAGCCTATTTCAAGTCATTTTCAGGCGATTTCAGGTAATTTTCAGCCAATTTCAGACTGTTTTTAGCCGTTTCTCATCGGTTTTAGCTAATTTTCAGCCTATTTGGACCCTTTATAACAAATTCCAGACAAATTTCGACTATATTTAGGACCATTTCTAACCAATTTTCGCCCCTTTTTATCCAACGTTGAGCCGTTTTTAGACTATTTAACCGATTTTAGGCAGTTTTAGGTCAGATTTAGGGTGGTTTTCAGCTATTTTCCGCCCTTAAGTACCCTTTCTAACGATTTTTAGCCAAATTTTGACTTTTTCAACGGGCATTTTCAGCCAAAAACCCACCAGACTGCTTGAATCCTCCAAACGGCGCGGCGGCATCGAACACATCATAACAGTTGACCCAGACGGATCCAGCTCTCGTCGTGTTGGCAATATGAAGTGCCTTATCGATATCCTTGGTCATGACACCGGCAGCCAATCCATAGATCGTGTTATTGGCCTTTTCAACCAATTCCTCCATTGAATCGAAACGAATAATCGACATGACGGGTCCGAAGATCTCCTCCTGAGCAATCGTCATCTCATCTTTGACGTTCGCAAAGATCGTTGGCTTCACAAAGTGTCCTTCTTCGCCGTGCTTGATTCCTCCGCACACCAATTGAGCGCCGTCCTTCTTTCCCGAGGCAATGTATTTCAGAATGGTGTCCACCTGGAAAAAAATTGGTTCGAAAATTCGAAAATTTCAATTTCGCGCCGAACTTCCAGCAATTTTCAAAAATTCTCATTAGAGCGCGTTTTCAACTCAAAACCAAAAATTGAAATTTCGCGCCAAAAAGTCTGAATTATCATTGTCCAATAGGGCGCACTTTTTCTGGTTCCAGTAAAAATCGAGCGCGAAATTCAAAAGTTCGAAAATTTCAAGTTCGCGCCGATTTAACGATTTTCAGACAGCTCTAGGCAATTTCAGGTTGATTTTTGACTAAATTTCAGACGATTTTCGGATATTTTCAGCCAAATCTGAACAATTGAATTTAGTTTTTTTCACTGAATTTCAGACTATTTTGGGCTATTTTCAGTCGATTTTCAGCCAAATCTATATCAACATTCAGCCTATTTCAGGTTTTTATCACGATTTCAGACAATTTTAGCCAATTTTCACCCATTTCCAACACCAAATCCTCACCTGCTTTCCATCAACTTGTGGTCCATGAGTCGTCTTCAAATCGAACGGATCTCCAATCACAGCCTTCTCAGCAAGGGCCTTCGATCTGGCCACAAACTCATCGTACACTTTTCCCTCGACAAAAGTTCTCGATCCAGCACAACAGCATTGTCCCTGGTTGAAGAACAATCCGTGGTTCGCCTGGGCGACGGCTTCATCGAGGTCGGCGTCGGCGAAGATGATATTGGGGCTTTTGCCTCCCAATTCGAGGGTCACCTGAAGAAGGATTCAGGGGGTTTGGGTCCGTAATCTTTAGCCCAACTTATCTAGATTCCTGTTAATGATATCAAAAAGTATCCAACTGATAAAATGTTTCTTATATTATGATAAACATTTTATCAGTTGACCACTCGTTGAAATCTTTCACAGGAAACCAGATAAACTGTGTCGAATTTGAAGAAGGGTTCGGTGAGAAATACGATATTTTTCAGCCATGACCAGCCTGGTGAGATCAAGCTCGTTATCAGTTATCGACAAAAGCTGATAACGGCGAGAATACCGTAATCTCTTCAACTCAAATTATCTAGCTTACTGTATCTGTCAACTGATACAATGTTCCTTATATTATGATTAACATTTTATCAGTTAGCCACTATTTTTCTTATCAGAACCGAGATAAATTGGCTCAAACATGAGGACCCTTCTATTAGAGGTTATCTTCTTACCTTCTTAACATTGGACTCCGCGGCAGCCTTCATCACCAATCGTCCAACCTCCGTTGATCCAGTAAAAGCCACCTTATCAACATCCATATGGCTAGAAATAGCCTGTCCGGCAGTATGTCCATATCCAGGAATTACATTGACAACTCCATCTGGGAATCCGGCTTCCTTGGTGAGCGCTGCCACGTGGAGAGCTGACAGCGGCGTCTGCTCGGCGACCTTCATCACCACAGTGTTTCCCATGGCGAGGGCTGGTCCGAGTTTCCATGCCTGCATGAGCAATGGGAAGTTCCATGGAATGATTTGTCCGCAGACACCGACTGGCTCGTGACGGGTGTACGTGAAGTAGTCGCCTTCGATCGGGATCGTCTTTCCGTGATTCTTGTCGGCCCAGCCGGCGTAGTAGCTGCAAAAATCGGTTGGTTTTTGAAATTAGGGCTAAAAATGCTGCTTTTGGCGCTCAAAATACCAATCTCTGGATATAGAGACCTCATTTTTTGATAAGTAAATGCTGATTTTGATCTTGAAAATGTCGATTTTTTGACTTAAAAACATCAATTTGGACCTTAAAAACACCAATTTTTTCGACCACAAATCAGGTAAAATCGTTGAATCTAGGGCTAAAAATCCCGATTTTTGGAGACTTGAAAACCTCGTTTTTTTGACTGGTAAGAGTTAATTTCAATTCTGAAAATGCAAAATTTGAACATAGGAATGTCTCATTTCGCATCTAAATATGCTGATTTTGATCCTTAAATCACCAATTTTCGGCTTCATTTTCCATCGAAAATTTGGTAAAATCGTTGAATTTTGATGTTAGCTGATTTTGGACAGCAAAATGACAAATTTCGGAGCTAAAAATTCTCATTTTGATGCCAAAAATGACAAGTTTTGGGCCGAAAAACTGGACTCAGAATACCAATTTTGGCTCTAAAATTCTCAATTTTTGCCGAATTTCCCCCAAATTTCCAGCCAGAACTCTCTCTCTCACTTACCGTAGCGTCTTAATCGAAAGTGCCAAATCCGCAGCGTAGGCGATGGCGTATGGCTTTCCGTTGTCCAACGACTCCAACGACGCCAGAATCACACGATCTCTCTCCATCAAATCGGCGAGACGATTCAGAAGAACGCCACGTTGCGATGCGTCCATCCGACGCCATTCGCTGCCGACTTGGAATGCTTTACGGGCGGCCTGCAAAATGAATTTTTGGAGGTTTTAAGCATAAAAATCCACCATTTTTGGCTAAAACAAAAAACCGATTTTCAGCTCTACAAAGCTCAAAAATTCAGCTTAAAAAATTGCTAACCTTAACAGCGATATCCACATCAGCCTTATCTCCTTCGGCAACATTTGCCAAGACACGTCCGTTGGCTGGGTTGACCGTCTCGAACGTCTTTCCAGACTTGGCTGGTACGAATTCATTATTGATGAAGATCTGGAAATTGAAACTTCAACGATGTAAGGTTTGGCATTTTCTAGGTTATCCTCAATTTTTTTGCAATCTTCTGGATGGTTTCAGAATCTCGAATCCTCTGAAACTGCTTCTCAGTGATGGCTTTTTGGTTAGGGTTAAGGCTTCCATTTCGGTCGGTCGAAACTCGCCGACCGCCGACCGACCACCGACCCAGCCGACCGATTTCGTGCCGTTGCGCATAAAAACACGAATTTTTGCGTACGAAGCTTTTTATTTTACGACAAACAAGGCTTTTAGTGAGCAGTTTGTCGTAAAATACAATGCAGCGTATGCAAACACGTTGACGCGCAAATGCACGAAAACGGTCGGCTGTCGGTCGGCGGGGTCAGTCGGCTAAATTTCCCGACCGAATTGAAGCCTTAGTTAGGGTACTAAGTGCCAAAGTTCTGAAATCCTGGGATCTTCTGAAACTCTGAGTTCGGAGGAGTTCTGGGATGAGTAGGATTTTGTTGCCTAGAAGTTTCTGATAACGGACGTTTCGGTCGACTGCCACTTTCCAACGGCCCAAACCGTCCATATATGCCGTTCTCAGTTTGATTTCTTAAATGTAGGCCTTCAGAATCCCCTGGATTCTAGAATCATCGAGTTCAGTGATTCTAGAAAATTCTAGAGTTCTGAAACATCTGAAACTGCTTTGAGATCGCCCATGATCTGGATTCGTTTCTTCTGATTCTGATCTGTACGGCTTTGGAATTGCTATCCTGGAATCTTGGATTCTAGGATTCATATGGATTCGGGTTCCATAAGAATCCTAGGATCCTATGATACTTCTAGGGTAGAGATTCCAAAGCCGTACAGATCAGAATCAGAAGAAACGAAAGCAGATCATGGGCGATCTCAGTGAGAAGCAGTTTCAAGTGTTTCAGAACTCTAGAATTTTCTAGAATCACTGAACTCGATGATTTTAGAATCCCAGGATTCTGGAGGCCTAGCATTCAGGAAATCAAACTGAGAGCGATAGATATATTAGTGGGCAAGTTACAGTCGGCCGAAACGTCCGTTATCAGAAACTTCTAGGCCACGAAATCCTACCCATAAACGAACTCCCCCGAACTCGGAGCTTCAGAAAATCCTAGGCTTTCAGAACTTTGGTACTTAGTACCCTAACCGACATCCTTGCTTCTGGTTACGACGGCCTAGCTGTCCTGAGAACTTGTTCCATGGTGGCCCGAACTCCTTTGGCAGTGATCCTAGATTCTAGAACCTAGACTAGACCCTTCTACAGTACCCCCAGTACATCTGAACTCTTCAAAATCCTCAGAATCTCTTCGTCTCAAGTCTCAAAAATCTCCCATCTAGACCATCGTTCAGTTTCTCTTATTGACCGAGTTCATTGTTCATTTCCTATCTCTATACACCACGTTTTTCTGTCCTTCTCCCAGGCTATCGATCATTATCACCTCCTTCTCTTTTTATCATCATTTTTCTCTATGGTTTTGACTGTTCTTTGTGTAGTCCTGGGGTACAAACACACACACATCGAAAAGAGATGCACAAAGAGAGGCGTTGAGGGCACGTGGTGGAAAGCCAAAACAAAACAAATTTTTTCTTCTGCAGAAAAAAAACCGGATCAGAAAGTTCAATTTTTTGAGAATCGGCACGTTTCCATACACTATATGTGTAGTGCAGAGGCTTGGACTGCGGTCGACCGCGGTCGAGCGACCAAAAATCGATTTTTGAGTTCAATATTTCAGATTTTAAGCATATTTTTGAGCCTAATTGATTATTTGAAGCGGTATTATGGCGAACATGCCCTTGGACCACGGTCGACCGCGGTCTAAAGTACTATGGTCCAGAAATTCATTTTTGAGCTTAATTTGGCTCAAAATTTCCGATTTAAAGGCGGTTTTTAAGCTACCTAGGCGTAATTTTCATTGGATGGTCTGAAAAGAGCCTTGGATCATGGTCGACCGCGGTCTAAAGCCCTAGCAGTCATTTCGACGGGCTATGGGCCAAAAATCAATATTTTGGACTTAATTTGGCTCGAAATTCCAGATGTTAAGGCGATTTTTAAGCTTCTTAGGCTTAATTTTAACTGAATTGTCGGAAAAAAACGGCTTGAACCACGGTCGACCGCGATCTAAAGTTCTTTCGTCCAAAAATCCATTCTAAGCGCTTAATTTAGCTTAAAATCTTGATTTTACGCGTATTTTTCAGCTGCTCAAGCTCTAGTTCTATTGAATCGTCGGAAAAGTGATTGGACCACGGTCGACCGCCGCGGCCTAAAGCTCTAGAAGTGATTCCGATGAGGTTTGAACCAAGAAATCAATTTTTCGAGCTCATTTTGGCTCGATTTTCCAGATTTTCTGACTGTTCAAAGCGGTTTTAGTCCCGAATTTGTTCAAATTTTGAATGCCAAAAAGACCTTCCTTTTCAAGGTCTTATCCCTCAATTCGGGGGCCTTGAAGATAGAAATCTATCTCTTTTTTTTTTTGCAATTATTGATTCAAATTCCAATTTTTCGACACTTACACCAGTATACTGTGGCTTCATGTTGGCCAAACCGGGCGGCACATTGGAGGCGTTACGCGCCTGCTGCGCGGAGGCTTTCAGGAGGGAACGGAGCATTTTCTGGAAAAATGAATGGGATTTTAGGGGGAAAAACGAAGAATTTAGCGAGAAAATAGCGAAAAAAAAGACATAAAAATGAGGATTAGCTGAAAATCGGAATAGCTGAAAATCGGAATTTTGGGCTTAAGAATTATCAATTTTACAACTGAAAATGAGAATTTTAGAGCCAAATTTCAGAATTTTTGGCTAAAAATAACCGATTTCACAGCCGAAAAGCAGCATTTTAGGTTTAAAAAGCTTAAAAATTATCCATGTTATGGCTGAAATTGACAATGTTCAGTCCAAAAATCAGAATTTTAGGCCTTAAAATTCAAATTTTACAGCCAAAAAATCAGCATTTTTGGCCCCAAAATAACAAGTTTTACAGCTGAAAATGACAATTTTAGAGGCAAAAATCAGCATTTTTCAGACTAAAAATGACAGATTTTACAGCCAAAGAATCAACATTTTTGGCTTCAAATCAATCAATTTTAGAGCCAAAAATCAGCAGTTTTGGCCTGAAAACCCCAAGTTTTACAGTTGAAAAATATAGATATTTGAGCCAAAAACATATTTTTTTGCCTCAAAATCTCATATTTTCAGTTGGAAAAATGGCAATTTTAGAACCTAAAATCAACATTTTTGGCTTCAAATCAATTTAAGAGCCAAAATCAGCAGGTTTGGTCTAAAAATAACGAATTTTAGACTCCAAAAATTGAAATTATCGGTTAAAAAATACACAATGTTACAGCTGAAAAATGTCGATTTTAGAGCCAAAAATTAGTATTTATGGCATCAAAAATCTGATTTTTAGCTCTAAAAATAGTAAGTTTTACAGCTGAAATTCAGAATTTTTGGCTTGAAAATCTCATAATTTCAATTGAAAAATGGCTATTTTACAGCTGAAAACATCGAATTCAGAACCCAAAATTCATATTTTTCAGCTTTAAAATTTCGAATTTCACAGCCGAAAAGCAGCATTTTGGGGTTAAAAATCTCACATTTTTAATTGAAAAATGTCGATGTTATAACCAAAAAATCAGCAATTTCGGCTTGAAAATTAAGGATTTTATAGCAGAAAATGATGATTTTTGAACCGAAAATCGGAATTTTAGGCTCAAAAATAGTCAATTTCATAGCCGAAAATCAGCTTTTCAGGCTTTAAAATCCCATTTTTTCGAGCTTTTTTCGAGTTAAAATTAGCTTTAAAATTCGATTTTTAACCGATTTTTTTCTGAAAATCATGCCATTTTTATCATAAATTAATGAATAAATACCTAAATTCAACAAAAAAAAAAGACAGAAAAAAGTGGACAAATACCCCTCGGAATAGATAAGAGAACGCCTGTGTGTGTTGAAAAATTGAAAAAGAGAGAAACGGAAAAAGGGGGCGGAGCCTAGAAAAAAGAAGATAGAAGGCACACAAAGAACCTGACTCTTCTACTTCAACGAAACATTTTCTGCGCACGTGATCCCAAAATTTATAAATTTTGGGGAGCAGAAAAAAGTGATTTAGAGCACAAAGAATGGTCGAAAAGGGGTCGAAAATCGGAACTTTTTTTAGCGACAAATTTCGCTAATTTTGGCTCTAAAAATCGCTGAAAATCGCCCGACATAAAAATACTTTAAAAATCAGAAATTGATACCTAACCAATCGGGTATAAATACCACAATTCTACCAAAAAACAACAACAAATTTACTAATTTTGAACACATAAACTTGAATTTTTAAAAATTATTTACTATGATGAGATGGGAATTCTCGAAGAATTTCGAACAGAAAACAGTCCAAAAAACCTGAAAATTTGTATTAAAATCCTATGAAAATCATGTGAATTTTTAGTTTTTTTTTTGAAAAAAAACATCTTCTTTCAGTTAAAATTTCCAGCTTCAACAGCGATTTTTGCCTTATTTTCGCTGATTTTTCAGAATTTTTATCGCAAAATTTTTCGAAAACTTTGATTAAAAAATCGGATTTTTTCAGCATTTTCAAACAAAAAAATCAGAAAATGAGTCATATTTTTCAATTGTTCCTCTCTTGCCGTTTTGTTGGAAATGTCAAAAAATTTTTTAATTTTTTTTTTTCGAAAAAGTCAATTTTTTGTAAAATAGGCAATTTTTTTCTTTATTTCTAGACCCAAAATACTGGAATTTAAACCAAAAAATCCAAATTTTCCATCCTCAAAAACTCAATTTTTGCCATTTTTAGCCAAATCTCGAAAACTCGAAAAAACATCGATTTCTGAAAAAAAACCTTTATGAAATTTCATTAAAAAACGATCTAAAATTTCATTTTATTCAAAAAAATTGCAAAAAAATTTCGAGAAAATCGCTGAAAAATGAGCCAAAAACTCCTCAAAAATGGGCGCTGTCAAAGAACGTCCGCAATATTTCGTGTCGGTGTTTGCACACCTCCTGCAAAACCATCGTTGTCGACCGTAACCGAAAGGGAAAATAATCGTTTTTCGCTCATTTTCAGCGGAGTTTCAGCCAAAAAAAAATAGAAAAATCGAAGAAAAACTAGCTGATAAACCACCGGATTCCGGAAAAATAACGATTTTCAACACGAAAATTTTCTGTTCAAAAAAAGGAAGAAAAAAAATCAATAAAAAACTCTTCATTCATGCCATTCTTTCGGTTTTTTCAATAAATAAATACAAAAAAAAATCAAGTTCAAGAGAAGCAGTTCTAATAGTAATAGACTATTCCTCCTTCTTCTCTTCCTCCTTCTTCTTCTCCTCATCCTCCTTTTTCTTCTTGTCATCATCATCCCAATCACTCGGAGCGTCTTCCATCGTCGGATAGTCCGTCTTCTTCTTAGTCTGTCCCTGAGCAATCAGCTTCTGTTTTGCATCGTACTCCATCACTCTGGGCTTCAACGACGTATCCTTCTTCTTCTCCTCCTTCTTTTCCTCCTTCTTCTCCTCACCATCCTTCTCCTTCTTCTCTTCTTCCTTCTGAAAATTTCTTCATGAATTCAAGATTTTCCTAGAAGAAATCCTTCTTACCTTCCCCTCATCCTCCTTCTCCTTCTCCGACTTCTTCACCTCTTCTTCCTTCTTCTCTTCAGTCTTCTTCTCCTTCTCCTCTTCCTTCTCTACGGTCTTCTCCTTCTTCTCCGGCTCATCCTTGGTCATCTCCTTGACCTCGGAAGCCTTCTCCACTGGAGCATCCTGTTTGGATGGCGTTGGAGGCGCTGGAGCTGCAGCCGGAGACGTTGGCTCACGGGGTTTTTTGGTTTCAGTAAATAGAGGAACATTTTTCTTCGTTTTTCTGGCTTTAGCCTTTGAGGCGCAGAAGAGAATAGTGGCTGAAATATTTAACTTTCAGCGTGGATCGTCTCAATCGCTTTCAAAATTAAAAAATTTTTTGACATTTCCAACAAAACGGCAAGAGAGGAACAATTGAAAAATATGAATTAAATTTAACACATTTTACTAGTTTTAACACATTTTACTAGTTTTAACACATTTTACTAGACATTTAACTTTTTGATATCTATCACCGCTCATGAGATACAAGCGTTAAAAGTCGCGCGCCTGTAGGTGTGCGGCGCACACCTGCCCACTTTGACAGTTTGTAACTCCTGAGCTATTATAGCTATCAAATAATTGCAAACTAGTAAAATGTGCAAAATTCGATTTTACACATTTTATTAGTTATCAACTTTTTTCTAGCGCTCCTCCTTACCCGTCAAAATGGCGATTGAGACGATCCACTGAGCAACAGCATTCGAGAAGCAAATGGTTGACAAGCCTAAAATCATTAAGAAAACCGGATAGAAAATTATTTCAGATTCGGTATCAAAATGATTGTGCTTCGTGTTTTGTAGAAAAAAAAATTTTCGTGTGGAATTGACTTTTTTTTAGTTGGATAAAAAACTAGGCGGAGCATTTCACGCGGAAATTTGAAATTTTGTAAAATTTGAAATTAGAAAGAAAATCGAATTGTTTCGAGACGTTTCAGCAAGTTCCGACATAAAAGATAGATAAATCGATTCTTCATCAGATATGTGATACAGAATAGAAATTCAAAACAAAAGAAAACCTGAGATCATATATGAAGGACTAAAGAAAAGAAACTACAGTAACCGTGAGAATTGAGAGAACTGATAAGAAGGATCCAGAAGACGTCGTAGACGGCAAATGATTCCTTCTTCTAGAAGGATCCATACATTTCGCCTTGATGAATGATCTGATAGATCGGAATGAGGCAGTGGTGCTACAGAAGTTGACATCCGACATTTCCTGAAATTTAGGAAATTTCAAAATTTCAAAATTTTTAGAATTTTCTAAATATTAGGTTGGCGGGAAAGTCTTTGTCACTCTGTTTGTTTAATCACTGTTCTCGTATATGGAGGCTGTGTATGATATCGACTCTAGTGAATAACAAGGTGATAAGAACCTTCCATATAAACAAGTCCCCATCTCCTTCCCTGCTCCTCATCTGTAATTGAAACGATATGTTTGTTCCCACTGCTATTCACATCAGACATGTTTTGATTTACCTCTTCCTATCTCACACCACGATGAAGGATTCGGAAACTTTCTTGAAGAATGTGTACAACACACATGCCCCTCACTACAATACTATTCGCAATTGGTTCCATCGTTTCGAAAAAGATGACTTCTCGCTCGATGAAAAGGATCGCTCTGGGAGACCCCGTGAGTTGGATTTGGACAAGCTGAAGCACGCATTGCAATCGGATCCATTTCAATCTAGCCGTGAGCTAGATGTCACATTCGGAGTTCACCATAGCACAGTCTTTGAAGGTTTAGAGTATATTGGAATGAGAAAACTTTTTGGTCGATTCATACCTCATCACGTGACTCAAGCCAACTTTGACCGCCGAGTCGACGATTCGATTACTCTTCTCACTCTCCACGCGGGCGATCGATGGCTGGACCGGCTAATAACCGGAGATGAGAAGTGGGTCTTCTACGATAATCACCACAGGAAATCCCAGTGGGTTGGAGAAGGAGAGAGCCCACAGGATGTCCCAAAACCCGACCTTCATCCGAAAAAAGTTATGCTCTCTGTGTGGTGGGGAGTGGACGGCCCCATCTACTGGGAACTTCTGCCCGAGGGCAAAACAATAACTGGAGACCTCTACACTACTCAACTACGAAACCTCAAGAAAGCAGTCGACCGTTCGGCCCTGAAAGACAAGAAAGTGTACTATCAACATGATAACGCTCGCCCACATGTTTCGAAACAAGTGAAGCAGGAGCTGATGGGATATGGATGGAATGTTCTCCCTCACCCCCCGTATTCTCCTGATCTTGCTCCTTCCGACTATTGGTTATTTGGCGATATGACACGTGCCTTCGAAGGAAGAAGCTTCAATTCCCGTGGAGCGGTCGAAGCGGCACTCAAACAATACTTTGCCTCACGCCCGGCTGGATTCTACCGCAATGGAATCCATAAATTGAGGGAACGTTGGAGACATGTTGTTGATAATGATGGACATATAATTAATTATTCGGTTATTTTTTCTTTGAGAAATAAACTATTGAAAAAGTGACAAAGACTTTCCCGCCAACCTAATACAGTACTTTTTTCGATTTCTCAGGCACCCAATTTTGAGCTTTTCCGCTCAAAAATGACTAGAAATCAATGAAATTAGGATTTTGGATTTTGTACTCCTCGTGGACAAGTCGGCGCGCGAAATTTGAATTTTTGGATTACAAAGCAGCATAAAACTCGATTTTCCGGTGTATAATCGCTGGGAATTATATAAAATCGAGTTTTGAACAAAAAATAAGAAATTTTGTTTTGTACTTTTCAGCGCGCGAAATTCGAATTTTCGGGGTTCCTTAGTTTTTCAGCTATTTTTCGACATATGAAAGCTACTCATTTTTGGCCAGAATTGAGTTCTAGGCTGTTTTGCAACTCAAAAATTCAAATTTCGCGCGTTGGCTTGTCCACGAGGAGTCCAAAATCCAAAAAGATTTTTAGTCATTTTTGAGCCCAAAATTTCAAATTTCCCACTGTTTTTGGACCTAGATTGAAAACGGGTGTATAGGAGTTCCAGGTCTGGTTTACACCCGCCAAAATTTTCGGCGAGTTCCAGACTCGTAAAAATTCCGGAAATCTACTAAAAATTTTGTGTATCTTACTGTATCTCGACTCTGATAAGAGATATCAAAAAGTTGTCAACTAAAAAAATAATTATCACAATATCCGTAGCATTTTATCAGTTGACGACTTTTTGCTATGTTTCACAGAAAGCTAGATAAATTGAGTACTGTACCTCCACACTAGTCATCCACTTCATTCCACAATTACATTCCATCGTATTCTCCTCCATTCTCGTTTTCAGCGCTTTCGACATTATGGACTCCGAAGTGTCCAGTCTCCAATTGTATTTCTTAAAATTTTCAGCTCTCCCAAATTCTCTACATTCGAAAATGCCCTGGCTGAAACTGTGCCAAGCTGACAAGCGTGGATTTCAATGACCTGAATCGTGGTGAGACCCGAGAAGGCGTCAGGAGCAATGGAGGGGATTTTGGTGTGCTCCAGGAGGAGCTGAATTTTTTTTTAAATTTAGATTTTGAGAAATGGGGGCGGAGCTTACATGAGAAGTGTGGGAAAGGGAGCTAAATGTGCTGGGCGGGATGTCGAATTGAGAGTTTTTGAAGTGAACAACATGGAAACGTGTGGAGTTTGTGAATATCTCGGGTTCAATAAGCACCACACCGGAGACAGTGAGAAAGTCGAGCTGAAATTTGGGAACCTTGGTTTTTGGCCGTTATAACTAGAGAACTAAAAACTCTAGAAGAAAATTGTCAACTAGTGAAATGTGTAAATTTAGATTTTAAGCATTTTACTAATTGACAAATGTTTGATAGCTAGCTTGGTTCTTGAGATAAGCGCACGGAAAGATAGACATACTTCCTTTAGAGCGCAGTGAAGCTAGAGTGTCTAGCTGTCTGCCTATCTCATGAACGGTACCAGCTAGGCAAAATTTGTAAACTAACAAATTATGTAAAAATCAAGTTTACACATTTTAAAAGTTGATAACTTTTCGATAGCTAAAACAGTTCGGGAGATATAATCGCGCAAAGATAGGCGTACCTTATCTAGCGCGCAAGTTATAGTGTCTAGTAATACGCATATCTCAAGAACCAGCCAAGCTATTTAGAAGTGTTTAACTACAAGAATGTTTAAAATTAAATTTTACACGTTTTACTAGTTGACAATTTTTTGATAACTTTCCTGGTTCTTGAGATATGAGCGCCCGGAGTTAGGGAAAGGCGCACCTCGTCTAGAGCGCAGAGAAGCTAGAGTTCTTTGAACGCTGGTATCTAGTGAGCCATAATAGTTATCGAAAAGCTTTCAATTATAAAAATGTGTGAAATCAAATTTTGAAAGTTTTACTAGTCAGCAATAGTTTGAGAGATACATAAAAGCCTGCAAAGATAAGGAAGGGAGACCTCACCTACACTGCCAAGAAGCTAGACTGTCTAGTTGTCAGCGTATCTCAGAATCGGTACTAGCTACACAAAACTGGTAAACAAGCAAAATATTTAAAATTAAATTTTAAACATTTTACTAGTTAGCAATTTCTTGATAGCTAACTTGGTTTTTGAGATACAAACGAGCAAAGATAAGCGCACCACATCTAGAGCGCAGAGCAGCTATAGTGTCTAGCTCACTGCGTATCTCAAGAACCAGAAAAGCCATCAAAAATTATCTGGCTATTGAAATATGTAAAATCAAATTTCACACATTTTACTAGTTGACAACTTTTTTATTGCTATAATAGTTCCGGAGATACAAGCTGTCAAAGTGGGCCTAGGCGCACGGGTGCGCCGCACACTTACTAGCGCGCAACTTTGAACGTTTGTATCTCGTGAGTCATGGTAGATATCAAAAAGTTGTAAACAAATAAATTGTGTAAAATTAAATTTTACACACTTTACCAGTTAACAACTTTTTGATAGCTTTAATAGTTTGGAAGATATAAGCGCCTACCTGATTAATATTAGCAAAACAATGTCTCGATAGTGCCAACTCCTCTCCAGAAATCGTCAATTCTCGAATGTTCTGAGCATTCCTAAACGTGTGACCATCGATTCTATGAATCGGGGTCTTCTCAAATATAATCTTCAGTCCCATTTGATTCTGAATCCCACTGAATGCGTTCTTCTGAAGTTCAGTGAGCCCCGGGCAGCTGGAGAACTTGATTAGTCTGGAAGTTAAAGGTTCTAGAAGCTTCTATTAGATTTTTAATTGGGTACCGTATCTTTTTGAGTCCTTTGAACGCCAATTTCTCGATGGTTCCTAGACTTGGATTGTTCTCAAACTCGATGTGCATGAGTTTTTCCATTTTTCGAAACGAATTCTTTTCAATTGTTCGGACTGAAGAATTTCGAATGATCAGAGTTTCGTAGCCAGAGGGAAGTCGATCGGGGAGAGTGACAACTTGTTGTCCCTCACATGTTACCTGATAAGAATGTCAATCATTTTGGGAGATTAGCTGTCAAGTACAACTTCTTGAAAAATTTCGAAAAAGAAGATAGATGTATTTATAAAAAAGTTGTAGAAACTTTTAAGATCTACACTTTGAGAATCGGTTCAACTAGAAATTTCGAACAGGAGGAAAGTTATGAACTGAACTGTGACTCATGTTTGTTGTGTTTATAATCAAATTGTAGACAATTTCAAGGGCTACATTTTTCAGGTTAAATCAACAAGAAATCTTAATTTTGAAGAAAGTTACAAGCTAAAATGTAACTCATGTCATGGTCAGAGTTTCACTAGCTCTAGCTCTATACTTCAAGATTATATAATTTGACTATAAAATAGAACTATGTATTTGCATTTATAATCGATTTGTAGACAATTTAAAGACCTATATTTTGCATGTTAACTCAACTAAAAATTCTAAATTTGGAAAAAGTTATGAGCTAAATTGTAACTCATATCATGTTCGGATCAATAAGCGAAAAATCAATGCACACTTAAGCTTAATTATCTCGGTTCCTGTGAGAGATATCACAAATCTTTGAACTGATAAAATGTTTGTGATAATATGATAAACAATTTATCAATTGACATATTTTGAATATCTCTTACAGGAACCGAGATAATTGAGCTCAAAATCTGTAGCTTGGTGAATCGCTGTCTTGCGACTCTATATGCTTGCAGCTTAATTATCTCGGTTCCTATGTAAGATATCAAAAAACTGTCAACTGGAAACATATTTGTGATATTATGATAAACATTTTATCAGTTAACAATTTTCCGATATTGTTTGAAGGAACCGAGATAATCGAGCTCAAAGTGCACAGTGTGGGCTCTTTTTAGAGAGAATACGATAACTTCATTCAAACTCAATATTTTTTGACCAACCAAAAATAGACTTATAAAACATAACAAGCTCTAAAAGACAATTATACTGCAAGTACTGTAGGGTGTCTATGAACAAAGTTACAAGAAGAAAAAAACTCACTTGCTGCGTATCCTCATCACATCGGCACCCGATTGGACACGTATCTCGGAGAGCGTTGAATGGGACGACGAATATCAGAAGCCACCCGAAAAATGTGTCAAAATGCATTGAAATGGGTTCTTTTTTTACGTTGTTACAGATATTGATGTCATCAGAAGAGGCGAGTCTGGAAAAATAATGGCATTTTGGCGGGAAAATATGATTTGGCCTATGAAAAAATATGTCAAAGTTGTCAGATGGTTCTGAAAATGTTAGAAGTATACAGAACAAAACTAGATCAACATTTTTGTATTTGACAACTTTTTCGAAAAATCACTTCCTGGAGAGATAAACCGCTTGAAAGCGCTGAAACTCTTTGGCGAACTACACGGTGCCAAAATCTCAAAAAAAGATTCCAAAAAGTATAAATGAGCACCTAGAGGCAACCGGACACATACACACATCTTTGGATATGTTATTTATGTTTACACCAACCAAAAAAAAAACAAGTTGTTGGAATAAATGAGAGAGGAATAGAAAAAAGAAGAAAAGTGTTTATGTGTATCAAAATGCGAATAAATGGGAGGAGAGGAGCTTTCATGAAAAAAACAAGATGACCCAGTCAACGAATTTGTTTATTTTCAGCTTTAGTAAACGATATTTTGAAGCATTTTTGCGTTTTTTAGCTCTGTAGGTAGCAGTCGGCAAGCTTAGAGACCGTAGCTCAACTTTGAGCTCATTTATCTCGGCTCCTATGAAAGATATCAAAAATTAGAAAACTAACAAAATATTGCTAATATTATGATGAACGTTTTATTAGTGAACAAAATTTTATCATCTTTTATAGGAACCGAGATATATGAGCTGCAAGAAGCAAGCACAGCCAACAGCGAAGCTCAGCTGTGCGCCAACCTACAGGCTTTCAGCTCATTCATTTCGGTTCCTGTAAAAAATATAATAAAATTTTTGAACTAGCAAAATATGGGAAATTTTATAACAAGTCGAAAGCTTCGCTCAGTAGACCTATAAACTTTGAGCTCAATTATCTTGGATCCTATAAGAGATATCAAAAGTTTGAAAGCCAGCGAAATGCTGGAAATTTTATTTTACACATTTTATCAATTGACAAAATTTTGGTTTCTCTTGTAGGAACAGAGATAATGGGGCTGCAATCAGCAAGCACGGTCGACCACTAAGCTCAGCGTCGCGCCAACATGCAGACCTTAAGCAAAGTGTGTAAAATTTAAAGAAAAAAAAAAGAATCAAACTACGACACTAAGAGATAAAAGAAGAAGAAGAAGTAAGGGACACATTCAGAAAAGTGTTTATGAGAAGAAAGATGAGCAATTGGGGGAAAGGAGTGAGCAGATTATAATTGGGTGTGACTTCTCGGGATGGATTGCTGCTGTCAATGTTTATGAAGGTGTCAGAAGTGACAGAAAAATAAGAATTCTGAAGTTCGGTTTTTATGGGATAATTAGATTTTTTCGGGAATTCCGCAAAGTTAAAGAAACCGAAAATCCGAAACTCCGGAAAATTGGAGAATCCGGAAATTTCCAAAAAAGATTCTGATTTTCAAAAATTTTGAGAACCTCGAAATCTCAGAACTTTCTAAATTTGGGTTCACAGAAATTTCAGAAATTCAGAACTCTCCAGAATCTCAGAAGCTCAATTTTCAGAACTTTTCGATTTTCAGATATTCTAAATTCAGAATCCAAATCAAAAAAAAGAAGGACCACCCAAAAAGTGTCACTAAATCTCCGAGGGAGTGTCTTGTGTGAAACTGAAGGAGCACGCGTCCGGTGGCAAATCTTATCTACTCCCCCCAAGAAATGATAAACTAACATGTGTGATAGTGATAATACGAGATGTATCAGATATCAGATATCTCTTCAAGAACACTTTTTCTTATCAAAAGAGCCAATAGAAAGAGAGAGAGAGAGAAAGATAAAGAGGAAATGTGCGAAATTCGATGAGCCCAATGTCTCTGGGTGTAATAAAGTGAGCCTTTTCCTTCCCATATCACAAGAGGCACCCCTAAAAAATGGGCGGAGCTTGCCCGGAGGCAATATTCTTCTCTGGAAAGTAATTGAGGAATCCTCGGGAAGCAAAAAGTCATGAATATGAGAAAGTAGTATCAAATTTCTTGAAGACGAGAGAGTGTGTGAAGTCGAGAGACGCAGAGAAAATAGGAAAAAAAGAGGGCACCTGTTGAACGAAATGGATTTATGAGCTGGGGATGATGATGTTTCGAGGGAAGAGGCAAAAATTGTATAGGAGAGATTTTTGAGATTTTGAAAGGATTTTGGAATTTTCGAAAAAATCGAAAATTCTGGAGATTTTTAAAAACAGAGAATTCCAAAAAATTGAAACTTTGAATTTCTGAGAAAAAAAAAGTACTAGAATCCAAATTGGAAAAAATTTTGAAGATTTGAAAATTTGACATTCCGAAATTCAGAAATTCAAAGAAAATTAGGAATTCTAAAAATCTGAAATTTTAAATTCTGAATTTTAAAACTCTAGTATTCAAAAGTCTGAAAATCTGAAATTCTGAAATGTTAGAAAGATTCTAAAAATTTGGAGAATTCTAAAATTCAAATATTCTAAATTCTGGAATTTTGAAATTCAAGATTCTGAAAATTCGAAAAAATCTAAAAATTTGAGAATCTGAAAAATTCAAAAGATTTTGATTCAAGATTCTGAAAATATGAGAATCTGAGATTTTTGAAAATCTGAAATTCAAAAAGTTTAAAAAATCAAAAATTCTGAAAATTCGAAAATTAGGAATTCCGAAAATTCTAAAATTCTAAAATTCTAAATTCTGGAATTTTGAAATTCAAGATTCTCAAAATTTGAAAAATTCAAAAGATTTTGATTCGAGATTCTAAAAATATGAGAATCGGAGATTTTTGAAAATTTGAAATTCTAAAAACTTGAAAATCTAAAATTCGAAATTCTGAAAACCTAAATTTTGTAAAATTGAAATGATTCTGAAATTCTAGTAAGTTCCAAAATTTTGGAAATTTTGGAATTTCAAAATTCAAAAATTCAAAAATTCGAGATTTTTAAATTTTGAAAATCAGAATTTTGAAAATTTGGAAAGATTCCGAAACTTTAAAAATTTTCGAATATATGAATACCTGGAATCAGAACATTTGAGATTTTAAAAATTCTATTAAAAATCTGAAAAATCTGAAATTTTGGAAAAAAAGGGAAACAATTTTCAATATTATTATTATTATTAAAATTATTAAAATTTCCAATATTTTTGAAAAATTCACAATTCAAGAAAAAAAAAGATGAGAAGACGATTTTTTGGAGATAATAAAGCGAAAGAAACAAAGTTTTTGGGAGTGATTTTGTGAGAAAAAAGGGGCGGAGTCTAAGGGATTACTGTAGATAAAAGGGGTACTGTAGCTAAAAGAAAAATTGCACAAAATTTGAGACGAAGGACACATCCCTGAAAAAAGCGGTTCCTAGAATAATACCTTAAAAATGGGGTTAGGTTTTTAAAAATTAAAAAAAGAATTTTGAAAAAAAAAAGATTTGGCGGGAAATTTGAAATTTTCAGAATCACAGATTGTTATGGTAGGGATTTATGCAGTTTTGGGGGAAATTGGGATTAGTAAAAGATTTCAAAAAGTTGAATTTTTTCAAAAATTTAAAAAGAAAAAAAGAGAAAAAAAGAAGAAGAAGAAGAGGGGATTTGAATACTTCCTAACTAGATTTTCTGCTCTTTTTTCTGTTTAAAGGGACAAGGAGAAAAAAAATAGACAAGAGAAAATAAATAAGTAAGGCACTTGGTTGTACTGGATGTCTTTTTTTGGGGTTGAAAAATTTTTTAAAAGGCGGGAAATTTGAAATTCCTCCCCAAACGAGACATGATATCACAATTCGAGAGAAAAACAGTGTCACAATCAGAATGAGATAAGGCGGAGAAGATGAAAGGATTTTTACAGTTTTGGGAGTCAAAAAAAAACATTCAAATATTAGAGGAAAAGAGCTATAACTGCTGCAAGACGACTTGTCCCTTCATGTCCTGAGCATAACTCGGTGGAACGAATGGATCGCCGTTGTGCTCGAAATCCAGCTCGAATTTCGATGGATAAAATGGATCGGATCCGGGATTTTGGCCAAATGTTGGGATCAGATATGGAATGTCCAGGCCGTGTTGAGGCATGTGGGTCATTTGACTCTGTGGGAGAGGCATTGGAGCTGGCGCCGAGACTGGTGGTGGTGGTGGTGGAGCCATCATTCGGGCGTGGCCGTTCATGTCTGGAATTTTTTTTGTTAACGGGAGCATAGATGTTGAGATTTTCCACATTTTAAAAGTATCCTGATTTTTGATAGCTATTCTAGAAACCGAGATAAATGAGTTCAAAGTTTAGGTTGGCTTGCCTTCCGACCCCTGTGTTTGCAGCCGCCTTATCTCGATTTCAGTAAGAGATATCAAAAATTGGTCAACTAACGAAATGTTGATGATACTTTGATAAATTTTTCACCCGTTGGCTATTTTTCGATTTCTCCTACAGGTACCGAGATAATCGAGCTGCAAGCATAGGTGTCGCAAGCGCGGTGGCCCGCATAGCTAACCGAGGCGCCTACCCACTCTTTCAGCCCATTTATCTCGCTTTCAGTAAGAGATATCAAAAGTTTGTAAACTAACAAAATATTGGAAACTTTATGATAAACATTTTATCAATTGACATCTTTTCGATATTTATTACAGAAATCGAGATAAGTGAGCTCAAAGTATAGGTTGGCGGATCGCGGTCGCCAGTGCTTGCGATCTCTATACTTCGAACCCACATATCTTGATTCTTATAAAAGATATAAAAATCTTGTTAACTAATAAAATGTTTGTCATAAAGTTTCCAACTTTTTGTTAGCCGACAGATTTTCAATATCTCTTATAGGAACCGAGATAAGTGAGCTCAAAATAAAGGTTTGCGCGTCGCGGTCGACCGCGCCCACGACCCCTATGTTTGCAGTGCATTATCTCAGTTCCTATAAGAGCTATCAAAACTTTGTAAACTGATAAAATATTTGCCATAAAATGTTCATCATTTTGCTAGTTGCCAAAAAGGAACCAAGATAATTGCGCTCATGAAAAACTCTCGCAAGTTTTCACCTGGATATGGTTGTGGTTGGAACATCATCCTCTGTTGCTGCTGTTGTTGCTGTTGTTGCTGATGGTGTTGTTCCAAATTTTCAACGTCAGTTTTGATTTGATGAACTCCATTTGGTTGCTGAGGGACACCATTCTGTTGTGGTGGTGTTTGTTGCTGGGACACAATTCCATTTCTTGGTGGAGATGGTCCTTGAGAATGGGAGGAGTTTGCTGAAAGGATTATAGATGAGTAGTTGAAATTGGCAGCAAAACATGTGAAATTGAATTTCCAACATTTCGTTAGTTTGAAACTTTTTTTCTAACCTTCTTAGTTCTGGCGATATAAGCGCAGAAAACTAGCTGCGCTCTAGATGATATATGTTTATCTTTGCACTCTTATATCTCTCTAACCGCTCTAGCTATCAAAAATTTATAAATCGGTAAAATGTGTAACATTTTATTTCACACATTTTTTAAACTGACAGTTTTTTAATAACTATTATGGCTTACGATTTACAAGCGCTTAAAGCTGCGTGTGTGCGGCGGACCCCATACGCTAACTTTGAATGCTTGTAACTCGCTAACCCCTTTTGTTAGCAAAAAGTTGGAAGCTAAAAAAATGTGCAAAATTTTATGATCTACATGTTTGTAATTTGCACTTTTTTGATAGCTTCAATAGTTTTTGAGATATACTTCTTTAAAAAATGCGCACCTCATCTTTGTTGACGCTTTAGCGGGCGCGCTTTCTTCACAGGCGCATATTTCAAAAAACGAGAAAAGCTATCAACAAGATGTAAACTGTCAAAATATAGATTTTAAAATGTTACAACTTTTTTAGTTTAAATTTTTTTTTAGAGCTTTTGGTTTTGGAGATATAATTGCTTGAAGTTCAGAAGTGATAAGCTAACTCACAATTAGGTCTCTGCTGCTGTTGAACCTGAACTTGTGGATTTTGTTGAATTTGCATTTGTTGTTGCATTTGAATTTGTTGTTGCTGTTGTTGTTGTGGTGGTGGACCCGTCATATATTGAACTCGTTTCACATCGAAATGCATCTGTGGGGGTGGAGCCTGTTGTTGGACTGGAGTGATCAGCTCATAACTCCTTTTTGGGGCTCGCTGAACGATGAACTCGGATTGAGCCATCACTGGTGGAGCACACTCGATGCTCTGTGCATTGTTACAACGCTTCTTGGCACACATCGCTCCTGGGATGTGACGGTTTTCGAAGAATCTGGAAATTTCAGTTTTTTGAATTTTCCTAAAATTAGACGAGTCATTTTTATCTCA